GGCTATCTTTTGGTTGCAGCTGTCATTGTTGTTTGGCAGGTCTGGGCTGGATTCGAACCCGCCACCTGACCTTGGTGGCCACAGGCACCAAGCCAGGAATGTTTCTTAAAATGTGCCTTTTCTTTTTTTTAATTTGAGACAGTCTTATTATGTCATCCTCAGTAGAGTGCTTTGGTGCTTGAGGTTGCTGTGAGCTATGATGCCATGGCACTCTACCAAGGGTGACATAGTGAGACTCTGTCTCAAAAAGATCAAGTGATTCTCTTGTCTCAGCCTCCCAAGTAGCTGGGACTACAGGTGCCCGCCACAACACCCAGCTATTTTTGTTGCAGTTGTCATTGTTGTTTAGCTGGCCCAGGCCAGGTTCAAACCCACCACTTTCAGTGTATGTGGTTGGCACCTTAACCACTGTACTACAGGTGCCGAGCCTTTTTTTTTTTTTTGAGACAGTCTCACTATGTCGACGTGGGTAGAGGGCCATGGTGTCATAGCTCACAGCAACCTCAAACTCTTGGGCTTACGTGATTGTCTTGCCCCTGCCTCCCAAGTAGCAGAGACTATAGGCCCCTGCCACAATGCCCGGCAACTTTTTGTTGTTGTTGTTGTCATTTTTGTTTGGTTCAAGGCTGTCAGCCCTGGTGTATGTGACCGGCGCCCTAGCCACTGAGCTACAGGCACTGAGCCTAGTCGTCTTCTTTTCATACCTGTGTACCTGTGAAGCAAAAGTGAAAGCTCCTCATCTCTAGATCATTGGTATTATAATTTTTGAGCTGAGAACCTTGCAGTATGGGGTCTTCTGGATACTGGCACGAGATCAGTGGAATCAAATCTTTGGGGGGGAGGGTAAGGAACTAAGATGTAGTTGGGGGGGTAATGATAGTCAAGATGATTTTATTCTTTTTATTTCATTTCACTTCCTTCTCATACATTCATGGACTCAAGATATACACACATGCATTCATGGACTCAAAATATACCTTTTCCCTCACCTTTTTGGTCTTTTTCTACTAGAGACTGATAAGGAGGAGTGTCTTTTTTTTTGAGACAGAGCCTCAAGCTGAGCCCCTGGGTAGAGTGCTGTGTCTTCATTGCTCACAGCAACCTCCAACTCCTGGGCTCAAGCAAGTCTCCTGCCTCAGCCTCCCAAGTAGCTGGGACCACAGGCGCCCGCCACAATGCCTGGCTATTTTGTTTTGGTTGCAGCCATCATTGTTGTTTTGGCGGGCCCATGCTGGATTCGAACCCGCCACCTTAGGTGTATGTGACTGGCACCCTAGCCACTTGAGCCACAGGCACCGAGCCTCAAGGAGTGTCTTGATGGGTAGAGGAGTGGTAGATTACAAACAGCATCTCCCTCTTCGGCTTCCTTGCTGTTTCCTATAGTTGCAGAGTAGAGCAGAGGACAGTGAGTAGGAGCTAGATAGTGGTGGAGCCGGTGTAGGTTGAAGGACATATGTCAGGCCTAGTTCACCTACAAAAAGGGTGGCCTTTTCTTTTTTCCAGTAGTAATATGGTGCTAAGAAGAAACTGTATTTTGTTTTAAATCATGACTAGTTCTAAAGCTGGAATATGGGTTTGCTTGTATAATCTTTTCTGCAGTTATTGGATCTTGTCTCTTCTTTCTTTCTTTTTTTTTTTTCCATTTACTTATTTATTTATGTATTTATTTTTTGAGACAGAGTCTCACTGTATTGCCCTGGGTAGAGTGCTGTAGTGTCATAGCTCATGGCAACCTCAAATTCTTGGGCTTAAGTGATTCTCTTGTCTCAGCCTCCTGAGTAGCCGGGACTACAGGCACCTGCCACAATGCCCGGCTATTTTTTGGTTCAGGTTCTCGTTGTTTGGCAGGCCCTAGCTGGATCTGAACCCGCCAGCTCCAGTGTATGTGTCTAGCGCCCTAGCTGCTGAGTTATAGGTGCCAAGCCTATTTATTTTTTTTTCTATTGAGTCAGAGTCTCACTTTGTCACCTTCGGTAGAGTGCCATGGCCTCATAGCTTACAGCAACCTCCAACTCTTGGGTTTAAGCTATCCTCTTGCCTCAGCCTCCCAGGTAGCTGGGACTACAGGTACCTGCCACAACGCCTGGCTTTTTTTTTTTTTTTTTTTTGGTAGAAATGGGGGTGTCACTCTGGCTCAGGCTTGTCTCAAACCTCTGAGCTCAGAGCAGTCCACTCACCTTGGCTTCCCAGAGTGCTAGGATTATAGGGGTGAGCCACTATGCCCAGCCTCTTTCTTTCTTTTTGTTTCTTTTTCCTTCTTCCCTTCTCTAGTTTCCTTTCCTTTCCCCTCCCCTCCCCTCCCCTCCCCTCCCCTCTCCTCCCCTCCTCCCCTCCTCTTCTTTTCCCCTTCCCTTCCCCGCCCCTTCCCACCACTTCTCCCCTCCCTTTTCCCTTCCCTCTCTTCCACTTTCCTTTTCCCTTCCCTCTCCCTTCCCTTTCCTTTTCACTTCCTTCTCCCCTTCTCTCTCCTTTTCCCTTTCTTCTCCTTTCCTTTCCTCTCCTTTTGCTGTTCCCTTTCTCCTCTCCTCTCCTCTCCTTCCCCTTTCCTTTCTCTTCCTTTCCTCTTTCCCTTCCCCTCCCCTCCCCTCTCCTTTCTCTTCCCTTCCCCTCTCCTTTCCTTCCCTCTTACCTTTTCCCCTTTCCTTTCCCTTCCTTTCCCTTTTCCCTTTCTTTCCTTTCTTTCTGACAAGGTCTTGCTCTGTCACTTAAGCTGGAATGCAGTGGCCCAAACATATCTCACTGCAGCCTCAAACTCCTGGCCTCAAGCAATGCCTCAGCCTCCTGAGTAGTTGGGACTATGAGCATGTACCATTATGCCTGGCTAATATATTTTTTTTTTTGGCAGTTTTTGGCTGGGGTTGGGTTTGAACCCGCCACCTCTGGTATATGGGGCTGGCTCCTTTGAGCCACAGGTGCCGCCCATGCCTGGCTAATTTTTAAATTTTTTATATAGAGACAAGGTCTCAATATATTGACCAGGATGGTCTCAAACTCCTGGCCTCAAGCAATCCTCGTGCTTAGGCCTTCCACATGCTAAGATTATAGACATGTATCTATATCTGTGAGCCACCATGCCTGTCTTGGTTGTTGGATTTTTCTATGGGACTAGACATTTTCATATCTAAGAGGCAGCATGGTGAGCTGCACAAAGATAAAGTGTTTTTTTGGGTTTTTTTGCAGTTTTTGGCTGGGGCTAGGTTGGAACCCACCACCTCTAGCATATGGGGCTGGTGCCCCACTCCTTGAGCCACAGGTGCTGCCCTAAAGATAAAGTTTTGATGCAAAGAGAGACCTGGGAAGAGACAGATCTGGTCAGGAAGGCTTCGCATCTCTCCTTGTCACGCCTTAAATTTTCTCATCTGTAAAATGTGAATAACAGTACTACCTAGCTTTCAAGAATGTTAGGATTGGTGGTGCCCATAGCTCAGTGGGTAGGATGCTGGCCACATACACCAAGGCTGGCCCAACCTAGGCCAGCTAAACAACAGTGA